ATCCTTGTTTTTTTTCTCAAGAAATCCATGATATAATATTTGCCTAATGTAACAGTGTCAATCTGGAGACTAAGGTGTGTCTGATCCGGGCCATAGTCTTTGCAATCACTTGCTATGCATCAGAAAGTTGGACAATGACTAGGGATGATAGAAGGAGAATTGATGTCTTTGAGCTGCAGTGCTGGACAAGAGTATTGAATATAACGTGGACTGCTAGGAGAACAAACAGGTTTGTCCTAGAGAAGGTGAGACCAGGCTGATGCTCCTTGGAGGCAAGGATTCTGAAGCTTCGTCTGACATACTTTGGACATGTTGCAAGGCAGGGCCAGTCCTTGGAAAGGGATATTCCTGGAAAAGGACATGTTGTCTTGGAGGGTGGATGGGCGGTGCAAGAGTGGAAGATCCTTGATGAGATGGATTGATTCAGTGACTGGGGCAATGGGGGTAGATGTGTCAGAGACAATAAGAGTGGCACAGGATAGAGCCGGGTTTAGGGCTGTTGTACATAGGGTCGCTATGAGTTGCAGGTGATTTGACGGCACATACAACAACAATGTGTAATTTTATTTCCTGATTGTGACTTCCATGAATATTAATTGTGAATCTGAATAAAATGAAATCTTGGACAACTTCAATCTTTTCTCCATGCATCATCTTCATATACCAGTTGCCTCCTGGTGAGACATTTTATTTTCCTGATGTTGAGATGCAATTCATATTGAAAACTATATTATCTGATCTTCTTCAGTAATTATCTCAATCCTTTTAATTTTCAGCAGGCAAGGTTGTGTCATCTACATAGCATATTGTTAGTGAGTCTTTTTCCAGTCCTGATTGCATATTATTCATCCTATAGTTGAGCCCTTTGGGATTATTTGTTCAGCATACATACTGATTAGGTATGGTAAAAACAATACAACCTGGACACACACGTTTTCTGATTTTAAACCTTACAGTCTTCCATTGTTCTATTCAAATGACTGATTCTTGGCTTTTTATAATTTCTTGGCTCTTTTGTAATTTCTGCATGAGTACAATTAAACATTTTGAGATCCCCATTCTTCTAAATGTTATTAAAAATTTATTATTATCTACACAGTTGAATGCCTTCACATAGTCAATAAAACATAGGCTAACATCTTTCTAATATTTTTTTTGCTTATAGCCAAGATCCATTTGATATTAGCAGTGATATCCCTTATTCCACAAGTCTCTTCTTGCTTGAATTTCTGCCAGCTTCTTGTCAATTTCTGCTCCAGCCATTTTTCTTTAATAATCATCAGCAAGATTTTACTTGCATGTGATATTAATTATATGGCTTTGTAATTACCACATTCTGTTAAACAACTTTATTTTTTTTAAGTGAGCAAAATATGCATCTCTTCAAGTTAGTTGGGCACTCTTGCAATATTTTTGCATAGATAAGTGAGCATGTCTAGCTACTCCATGATATTTCATCATTCCTACTTGGTTTTGGTGTTTTTAGGTGCTGCCAAATTAACTGTGCTGTCCTCATGATCTCTGTTCTGCTCAAGCCCACTGTGGTAGTCAGTACATCAAATCATATCATTGAAGGTCTTCCTCTTTCTCATTGGTCCTCTGCTTTTTCTCTAATGATGTTTCTGTCTATGAACTGGTTCCTCATAAAAACACACCCAAAGTAAGTGAGATGAAGTTTCACTATTTTTGCCTCCAAGAAACACTTTAGTGGCATTTCCTTCAAGATGGATTTGTTTGTTCTTTGGGTGGTGGTTGTTGTTGTTGTTATGTGCCGTCAAGTCTCTTGGGACTCATAGTGACCCTATGTACAACAGCCCTAAACTCTGCTCTGTCCTGTGCCAGTCTCACTGTCTTCAACACACCCATCCTGATTACCCCAGTCACTGAATCAATCCATCTCATAGAGGGCCTTCCCCTCCTGTGCTGTCCGTCTACCTTCCCAAGCAAGATGTTCCTCTCCAAGGACTAGTCCCTCCGTACAACATGTCCAAAGTATATTATACAGAGCCTCAGAATCCTTGCCTCTAAGGAGCAGCCCGGTTTAACCATCTCCAAGATGAATCTGTTTGCTTTCCTAGCAGTCCAGGGTACCCTCAGTACTCTTCTCCAACACCACAGCTCAAAGGCATCAATTCTCCTTCTATCCCCCTTAGTCCTAACAAGTGATTGCAAAGACCATGGCTTGTATCAGACGCACCCTAGTCTCCAGAGAGACACCATTGCTCTTCAGAACTTTGGAAAGGTCTCTAACAGCAGACTTTCCCATCACAACATGTCTTTTAAGTTCTTTGGGTGGTCTATATTATTGTTGTTGTTTGCTCTTGAGTCAGAACCAACCCTTAGCTGATCCTCCCATGGGTTTTCAGAGATTGTAAATTTCACAGGAGGAGATTGTCCATCTTGCTATCACAAAGCAGCTTGTGGATTTGAACTGTGTGTGCGCCTTTGAGATTGCAGTTCAGTTTATTGGATATATTCAGTGCTCTTTGCCAAGATCACAATTCAAAGGCATTGATTCTTCTTTGGTTTTTCTTACTACTTGTACAAATTTTAGATGCATAGGAAGCAATAGTTTTAAAACATGCTATCCCCTTTATAGCTGGAAATAAGGATTGGAAGTGATGCTTGAGACTCTCCAAGCTTTTTCCTTTGGGAGGTCAGGAAGAAGGAGCTGGGTGGAAGCAATGTAAGTGAGCACCAAAGACAGCACAATCAGGAGGACTATGTGGACTCAGTGGGGCAAATGAGTGCTTTGGGCTGGGAAGGCTAAGAACCCCAGCAGCCATGCTGAGGAGCTCACTGGGACTCAGTCCTGTGCCATTATAGCCACCATCCCTGAGGGTTGAAGTTCTCAGCAGGAGCCTGCAGCAGCTGGTGGATGGAAGCATCAGTGGTGAAGCAGGCTAATGTAAGTTTGGCTTTAGTGGAGAGAAGTGGAACAAATGAACCTGGGAGTGCAGAAGCACAGTGAGTACAGCTATGACCTCAGCCTAGGCATAGAGTAGGAGCTCT